GATTTCTATCATGAAAAATAGATGGAGAAAATTGAGAACCCTTTTGTTTGAGAATATTTGAAATATCAGAAATGATGATGCAAGTGCAACTTCCTTGCAGACTTAATTAAAGCCAATAGTTGAGAGGCAGTAACATTCTCAGTGGTATCCAGAAACCTGCCTTCTTATTTGTAAAGAATCAACATAAACATATATACAGCTTGACAGGGACCTTTGAATGAACTTAAAATGTGGACCATGGAATGTCTCATAGAGGGCTTTTCTCTTTTTTTCATAGGTGATTATCCCACTCTTTAATTCCTAAAACCATGAGGTACAGTTTCAGCCTAATTAGATGAAATGTTTTGTTTCCTTTAAAATCCTGAATATAATTTAATAATTTATTGAAATTGAGTTTTTAAGAGTTTCTAAGTTATTCTCTTCCTTATACTCCAGTGGAATAATAAAAATAAATAACAATAACGAAAAAAAAACAAAAACCCTATCAAAGTTAACCTTTGCCAAAGCCATCAAGAAGTTGGTACTTTGCAAAAGTCACAACTCTGAAACAGAACGCTGGTGAACTTAAAGTGGCTGCTGTCTGGCAAGTCTTTAATATATTTGTGCCTCAATACTTTTAAACCGTCTGAGTTCACTAAATCCTAGAAGCCTAATGAAAATCAGATCTTTTCTTCATTAAAAGGGGAGATCCTTTTTATCTGAATAGAAATAGAATAAATTCAGGTTTTGATACAATAGTTAACACAGGATAAAACCCCCAGAGGAGCTCAATCCATCCTTTAACTATTAACAGAATGAAGACCTTTTTTTAACTTATTCTTCCAATGCTGTCTCCTTTAAACGCGCAAACACACACAAGAATAGGAAACACATCAAACTTTTAACTGTGTTATAAAATGTGTACACCTTTCAAGATGTTTTTTGCAAGATTTTTTTTTTTATTTTCCTTAAGTTTTATCCTTATTGGGATAAAGTTGATGCATTTCTATAGTACTCTTCACTAAGTCTCAAGCCACACACACAAAAAAACACCCCAAAACACATAGAAATTATTTTTTTAAAAAGGAAACTCAAAACAATCAAGTAATCTGAGTATTTTTCATTCTATCCAGAATTTCAAAGCCGTCTGAAAGACGACATGAATGAAAATAGTGGTTTGAGGCCTAAATTTGTCTTAATTTTTTGGAAGTTTGCTTTTTGTCAGCCAAAAGCTACATATTCAAATTAACCTGAATGAAGTATTTTAAAAAAAATCTACAAGACCACCTTGGATGCCTTAAAACAATTATTTCTAATATGCACTCTCTCCTAAACATTGAGATAGGTTCGTATGTGAATAAAATCCCAAATTAACATTAAAAAGTAAAGTCATTTGGTTACTCCCACATGTCATATGATGATTTAAATGGCAATCATGGATTTTGAAAAAATATGCATATTATCTATAAAAACACTAGTATATAACTTCAAACAACATATTTATCCGAAGTGACACAAATTGTTCTAAACCTTAAGGAAACTTAAAAACACCTCTTCTATAAGCAGAATAAAACCTAGCTGACTGAGATATTAACAAATTTGTTGTGGAAACTTGTTAATAAATTATTGGTAGAAATTCTTAATATCCATTATGCTATAACCTGAAACAGACTAAATCATTTTCTTTAGTAAAAGAATAATATGTAAACTGATAAACTACAGATTAACCATCACATATTAACAGCAAGTGTGACTCAGTGACAATAACAAGTGTGGTGACACAGTGCCTCAAATCTGGCTGTGTCCTGAATTTCTCACTCTGAAGGTATCAGGCCAACCTACCTTTGGGACAATAGGTCTTTTTATCCTGTTTCTTAAAAGTTTGTGTCACTAGTCTATAACAGACAGCAATGAGATAGCTCTAGCAGTAGATGAAGCAAGAGGGTAATTGTGTACTAGAAGAAGCATTTATCTGTCTTTTGATCCAAGCTTCTCAATTAATTCCTGAAGAGGTGCCAGCTCACGCCTATCAATCAGATTAAACTCCTAAAAAGAGAAGAAAAATAAAATTTAAAAATGGATCTAAAATTAAAACTCTGTAAATGTCACTGAGAAAGTATTCCCAACCCTAGTTTTCTGAAATCGAAAGGAATAATGAAATGATCTCTGTGAACATTTTTAATAGAATAATTTTTACTCCTTTTTAAAATATAGAGGACTTACTAAATAAGCAACTATAATAGAATGATGCTTACTGGGTAAAACATTAAAGTTGTATATGTTGGCATTTACATAGGAATTATCTGAAAACTTTACGCTGAATCTTTGCTAGTGGCCACCTCAGGGGCAGCAGACCTTTTCCTTTCATAGTTCTAGCTATACTCTATATCTATGCCATGCAATAACCTCAGAAGGAAGATAGAAAAGAGCACATTATCCTTTGTGTGATACATAATATTGTAATACACAATTATTTATAATAATAAAAGCATAATATGCAAATCGACCAAACAGCTGAACAGCAGAACGACCGTCCGGACAACCATGCTATGACACGCACTGGCACCAGGTCAGCCAAGGTGGATGTGATGCAATTGGCAGGGGAGCCCCGCAGAGGGAGGCCCAGGCCACCGACCAGTGGGCTGCAGCAGGTGGGCAGGGCCTCCCTCTGCAGGGTGATCCATTACTGGGCTCTGGGAGAGGGCGCAGGCCAGGCTGAGGGACACCACCCCCCACCCCCCACCCCCGAGCGCACAAATTTCATGCACCGGGCCTCTAGTCTACTATAAAGCTGCTGGGTTTTCCACCAAAAAATATCTAGACATATTTGTATTTTGCATACAAAATTATATATTTCTAAAGTGAGACTAAAGAAGTCCCGATTCTTCCACATCTTTTTCAAACAATGTGATTATTTTGATTTTTAAAGTTTCTAGCTGCTAAAACTTCATAAGATTTGGCCTTATGTGGGACTTCTAGACATGGAACCTAAGACAACATGTAACAGGTTCTTCTAAATATTTCTCTTCCAGGCATAAACATCTCATGAAACAACCCAACTTCAGACGTTTTTCATAGTGTCCCTTTACCCAGCAGTGGCGATGGATCAGAAGGGTATGGACAAGCTTTCTTGGGTTTTTGGTGCTCCTTGTCATATCCTAACCAGAGACCCGGGCAGCCAGAGGCAGGAAACCCAGAATGGAGATGATGCTTTCTATGCTGCTATGCCCATCAATGAAATAAATAATGTAGAAAACAGAACCCTGCTTATACTTAGCTCTGCATCTATAAATAAAACTCTATAAATTGTTCTTTATTAAAGTTACTAAGCCAAGTTATGTCCAAGTCAAAGAACACAGAAGTCAACATGGTTCAACTTACCTGAACAAAGAAAATAAAGTGCTTAAAGGAGGTGTTGAGGTGAGCTTCCTCTTGCAGCTGCATCACAGAATCAAAGTGCTGGTGATAAATATGGGCATAAACCCTGAACAGACGTTTTAGAATGGTCTTTGCCACAGACATAAAGTTTTTGGGAAATGGGACACCTATAATAAATATACATATATATCCATTAGTCTTTTATTTAACTGAACAGCAGAAAGTTTAGATATAGCCATGAGCAACTCCAAAAGACAAACATGCACATTCACAAATACAAGCCTACTGCCATATATACATTTTTTAAAGGCAAGGGAATAGAGAATCCCAAACCTAAGTATATGAGGTATGCTCATATACCACACATTTTCTATCTTAAAATAGCAGGCACAGGTTTCAAAATTTATATATAAAATGTTACTGAATCAAAATTAAAATAAGCCTATTTGTGGTTAATATTGAAGAGTTTCTTCCTAAGACTAAATGCTACAGGCCAGCAGGTGTGCCTTAGCAGCTGAGCAATGACCCAGGAACCAAGAGTCCACAGGTTTGATTCTTGGTCAGGGCACATGCCCAGGTTGTGGGCTCAATAGGGAGTGCTGATGCAGCCAATTGGTGTTTCTATCTCTCTATCCCTCTCCCTTCCCTTCTCTAAAAATCAACACATATTTTTTAAAAAAGATAAAAAGTAACAATATTGAGCATTTGACTATAAATAGAAAATTTTTACTTTTTGTAATCTGTAACTAAAAAAAATTTACACATTCAACTAGGACCGGAAACTCTCCTAAACAAAAGAAAAAGAAAAGGCATACTTCAGGTCATCATAATCTGTTTTACAAGTATTTTACTAGTATCTTCTTGAATTACTCTGAAAAGCCAGTTTTCTTAAACTAGGAGTATAAACTTTATTTATTTTTTTAAAGAGCTATTTTCATTTTTCTGTAGTCTAAGAAGGGAATATACTTCCTAAAAAAAGGGAGGAAGAGCAGCTCCCTATTTTTCCAAGAAAATAAATATCTCCTTAGAAAAGACAGGGAGAGGGTTTAGTGATCTCTTTCCAAGCAGTGCAAGTAAGGATGCAGCTGGTTACATTCCTGAGAATTTTGGTTAACAAGACCAAAGTCTCTTAGAAGGCAGGGATGGGAGAAAGACAATACAATTGGCACTGAATACAGTAAATAAACACATAGGAAGGTACTTGCTTCCAAATAACCTTAAAGGTCTGTTCCAGAACATTTACTCTTGAAACATTTTCTTTAAATTTTCAAAGAACAAAAGCTTAAATACTTTTTCCTTCCCTGAATTTTGTTTTGTTTCTCAATTAGTCCTTACTGGCTTGAAATTTAGTATATTTTGCTCTTATAAGCTGATTTTTGTGGGGGATTTGCCCCCACCCCCAGTCTTGGCTAACAACCTGCCCTTTCAGACATTATTCTGAAGTATGGGCTTGTTTTTCTGAAATGGGTCTTGTATTAATGTACTGAAAAGATGGATTTTTATGTCAAATTTCTTTTCAAAATTTGTAAATGGGTACCTTGCTAATAAAAAGGACAGTAATAACTTGGATATACTAGTTTAAAAGTGAATAATTTCTTCTAAGTAGATAATTGGCATAAGTAAATGTGGTATATAGTAATAACCTAATGAGGGGGAAAAGAATGCCAGGATAAATTACTGATGAATGGGAAGCTGAGAAAAGAATAAAGTCAAAAGTATCTTAAAACTTTAATGAATAAAGAAATATTTGTTTTAGTCTAAGCACTTTCAAGCTGAATTTAACAGAAATATTCAAGCATAATCACTATATAACAAATCTTTATTTGCTATTAAGCAAATAAAATGCTTAATAGAATGGAAAAGTTGACCAATAGCAAACAGAAAAAATGTAACATGATATAACTTCTGAAAAACCTTTAGTTAGACTGCAAACAAGGAATCTGCTATGGTCTGAATATTTGTGTTGTTCCCCCCCCCACCCCCTGGCAAAATCCATATGTTGAAGTCCTACCCCCTAGCTGATGGCATTAGTACGTGGAGCTTTTGGGAGGTGACTGGGTCATGAGGGCCAACCCTTCATGGATGGGATTATGGCCTTATAAAGAGGCCTCAGAGAGCTGCCCTTCCACTATGTGGGGACTAGGTGAGAAGCCTGCAGTCTGGAACCCAACCATGCTGGCACCCTCATCTCAGACTTTCAGCCTGTAAACTTTGAGAAATAAATTTCTCTTGTTTATGTGCCATCCATTTTCTGGCATTTTTTTTTTTTATTATAACAGCCCAAACAAGACAGAATCCAACAATATGTTGTTCATAAGACACCCTTACACTGAAAATGATAAGGACCAATCTCATCCATAAATACCAATTCCAAAACCTTAATCAAAATATTAGCAAATAAAAATACTCTTCCAGAACATTAAAAAAAAAATGGAGAAAACCTTATGGCCATTAGTAACACAATTCACACACCTCTAACCAAAAGCAAGATTCTTGCTTAATGCTAAAATTCTAAACGCACTCATCAAAGGAAAGAAGAAAAGGATGTCTGCGTTATCACCATGAGTCAGCACTGCTCTGGAAGTACTAGTTGTTAAGTACAATTAGATAAGAGTTACACAAGAAGTATACATTATCAGAAAGAGGCAAAATTACCATTAGTATGATGGAATTGTATACTTTAAAAACTCAAGAAAAACAACAGAAATAATCAAAATCTGGTCAATTATAAAATTTATATAAAAATCAACAGATTTTCTATATACTAAACACTAACCACTGGAAACCAAATATTAATAAAAAAAAATTAAATGCCTAGGAATAAACTTAAGAAACTTGAAGGATTAGCATAAACTGTAGAATTTTATAAGAGGATACAGCAAATAAGAGACATGAGTAAATGAAGAAATATACCTTATTCTTGGATAGGAAGACACAGGATTGTCAAGAGAACAAGAATCCCTATATTAATCTACAAATTGAATAAAATCATAATAAAAATCTCACAAAGATTTTTTTTTTTACCTTGACAAAATGATTCTAAGTTCTTTGGAAGAACAAATATCCCAGAATAGTCGTGAATATTCTGAAAAAGAAGAGCAAGGAAGAGAGACCAGCCCTATAAGATGCTCAAAGATTTATGTCCATGTTTAATTAAAACAGTATGGAATTTCTATAGGAACAGATAAAGAGATTAAAAGACTCCAAAATATGTGACAACTTGATGATCAGGGGAGAAAAGACACATGTATTTGATAAATAGTATTGGACAAACTGACTAGCATTATAAGTGAGGAAAAAATGAAGGGAACAATGAGAAAAAAAATTCCTGACAGAACAAAGATTTAAATGTAAAAACAAAACCACAAAAAAGTACTAAATGAAAACATGGATAAATATTTTTATAATAGTGAAGTAGGGAAAACCTTTCTAATCATTGATTAAAACCCAGACATCATTAAAGAAAAGATTAATAAGACAAAATAAGAAAGTTATATATAGCAAAATCACTTGATGAACACAGTAAGACAAAAGGCAACCTAGGGAAAAAATACATTTATGACAAAAAGCTAATATCCTTAACATAAAAATAAATGAACAAAGGATATAAAGAGAAAACACAATGATCAATAAACAAAAAATGCTCAATCTCATCAATATCTTAAAAATGTGCCTTAAAACTAACTTATTTACCTAAATTATAAAAAAAATTTTCAGTGAGTAACAACCACTATTGGTGAAGAAACACAGGCAGACACAAACATGTCTGAAAGGAATATACATTTATAATCTTTTACAGAAAAATCTGAGTCTGTTACATTTTTAAAAAATAGAGCGTTAAAAAGCACACATTTATCATTTAAAAAGAAAAACAGTTATACAACATTAACTCACCAATCTTAGAAGGAAAAAGGGTTTCATCATCAAGTTGGTCCTGAACCCAAGTCATCAAATAGTCAATGTATTTTGGTGCAGAACATTTGATTGGCTTTTTAATATTAGTACCATCTGCCCAATGATATTCATATCTGAAGAGAGAAAGGTTTTATTGATAAAGTTTTCACATTAACAAATGTGCAACTTATAATCAAAGTAGGTTCATATTTTGTCAACAGGAATTATATATCTATATCTATACCTTTAGTAAATTACCTAAACTACTGAAGATTACTGAGAGTTTCCCACAGAATTATTTTGAAAAGTGATGGTTATAATTGGAAGAAAAAGAGACGATAATGTGGCAGCTGGCAGTGCCAGAATGGATGTTTTCTAGCACAGCCCTGGGAAAGATAAATGAACTGTATTTCTGTCTGTGAGGCAGAGGATGCAGAGGACTGGGGAAGGGACGGAGGGATCACTGCACTCTGAGATCCTTGGGCACCAAGTTATCACCAATAGAGTCAAGATCATAAAACCCTGCCCAGCCAGTGTGGCTCAGTGATTGAGCATTGACCCATGAACCAGGAGGTCACGGCTTGATTCAAGGCACATGCCCGGGTTGTGGGCTCGATTCCCAGTGGGGAGCATGCAAGAGGCAGCCAATGGATGATTCTTTCTCATCACTGATGTTTCTATCTTTCCCTCTCCCTTCCTCTCTGAAATCAATAAAAACATTTTTTTTAAATATAAAATCCCGTTTCTTGGAGAGGGTGTTAGTCATGTTTCTAAGAAAGCAACACTTAGGCACTCGATATTCATTCAAAACAAAGAGTATGCTCAGATGGTGTGCTTAACTAGAATGATTAACAAGATTTATACAAAACTTCACTGTATAAAGTATTTAAGCCATGGATCAGTTTAATTTTCTTATTTTATTTAAATTTCTTTAAGAAAGCTTGAGAACTAAAACTTAAATCAACACAAAATAAAAACATCCCTCACCCTAACTGGTTTGGCTCAGTAGATAGAGCCTTGGCCTGCGGACTGAAGGGTCTCAGGTTCAATTCCAGTCAAAGGAATGTGCTTGGGTTGTGGGCTCAATCCCCAGAAGGGGGTGTGCAGGAGGCAGCCGATCAATGATTCTGTCTCATCATTGATGTTTCTATCTCTCTCTCCCTCTCCCTTCCTCTCTGAAATCAATAAAAATATATATTTTTTTAATTCCTCATAAAATTACTATAATAAAAATAGGATTACCAACTGACTGGGGATCTATCCTTTGCACCTGTAGCAAATTCGGAAAAGACAATTTTTTCCCCCAAGAGGTAAATAAATATCTTGACAACTACCACCATGACATAAATTCAGTCATTTACTATATCGAAAAGACTGAAAGGAAACACCTAAATCACACACCACCAAACTTTGACAACATACGGGTGACAGAGTTCCATCTCTTTCTCAGTATTTCTTGAAATTTATTATAGTCAATTTTTTAAAAAATCTAGCATCTTTAAGCCAAATAACGAACACAGCGCAGTTGGAAGTAATTAACACTAAATAAGCACAAGAAAAAGGAATCAAATATTAAAAAGTTAACTAAAAACTCAGTTTCAAGAAATTAATTTAAAAAACAAAACCATAATGTTAACAGAGTTCTAAATTTCTTTTCCTTTTACAACTCCTTACTGTAATGCAATTACAAAATCAAACACTAAGTACCAAATGCCAAAGTATTTAGTAATAACTAAAAGCTTATTGGTAAGTATTAAAAATTCATAAAATTGAACTGCTTTTACACAAGCATATAAGAAAAAAAGTCTTTATTATTTAATTTTTATCAATTAGTGATTAGCTTTACTAAGTAATCCTATATAAAATGCAGTAATATGTACCTTGGACCTGCAGACATGACTGAACAGCTTGCTTCAGTGCAGAATTCTGTAATAGTTCCATATAACATGTTGATCTGATTGAAGAAATCCACAGCTAGAAATATAACAGCAGAATTGTGTTAAAATATCTATGTAAACACACCACCATCAGACTTCTCAGTTGAAAGAAAAATAGACAAATTCTTAGCTAAATCCTTGGGAAATTCAACAATCCAAGGATACTGTAAATTCTCTTTTCTTTGTAAGTTGTCACACCTAAGTAAAGTTAACTTTTAATATACATTCATTTTTAATATACTAAGCTTTTAACTAGCATGCAACAGCAGAAAAATAAAAACCAGACATAATCTAACTTAATGGTGACTATACGTCATTAGAATACACAATTTGCTTATATCCAAGGGAATGAAAAAAGCCATAGCTTCTATTCATCTGGACTAGACAATATCATTTGCGTTAGAAAAGTGTTATGAAATACATTGTGAGGGAGAAGGTGTATTGGCAGTTATGAACAATCATTTAAAAAATCCAATTCATCGTAAAAAAGTTGAGGCTACCTCTAGCTGGTTTGGCTCAGTGGATAGAGCGTCGGCCTGAAGACTGAAGGGTCCCAGGTTAGATTCAGTCAAGGACACATGCCTGGGTTGCAGGCTCGATCCCCAGGAGGGGCCGTGCAGGAGGCAGCCGATCAATAATTCTCTCTCATCACTGATGTTTCTCTCTCTCTCCCTCTCCCTTCCTCTCTGAAATCAATAAAAAATATATTTTTTTAAAAAATTGAGGCTATACATATTGAAGACATTAAAAAAAAAAAAAGACACAGGATAATGTCCCTTGCCCTGGATTCTCCAGCTAACAGAAGGGGCAAAATTACAAGAGATGAATAATACAACATATAAGAAGGTAGTTATACAAAGGCCAACAGTAAATGCGAGAGTTCAGAGAAAAGGCAACATATTAAAGAGTTGAAGTAGTCAGGGAGTACTTGTAAAGGAGCTTCAGCTAGAGCTGCAAAAAAAAATGGAACAGGAAGAAGGTGAGTGAAACAATCAAGTGAAGCATTTTACGCTCTGTACAAAGCGAACCACATAAGCCTTAAAACCACACAAATTTTAAAAAAATGTTTTCGTTCCCTGTCTGAAGGAGTACCTAAAATTCCACTAGGGCTTTTTCAAGTTTCTTAAAAACATATTAAAGGAACTTTGTACAAAACTCCCTCACTTACAAACCTTACTTTTAGTCATGTTTCTAAGAAAGCAATACTTAGGCACTCAATATTCATTCAAAACAAAGAGTATGCTCAGATGGTATGCTAGTTTAGTTTACAAATCTAAAGCAGCAATTTTCAAACCAGTGTGCTGCCAGAAATTTTAAAACATGCAATACCTGACTAGTCAGGGGCACTGACCTCTTTTTCCCTTAAATTTTAAAATTTAAAAATGAGCCCTAACCGGTTTGGCTCAGTGGATAGAGCGTTGGCCTGCAGACTCAAGGGTCCCAGGTTCGATTCTGGTCAAGGGCATGTACCTTGGTTGTGGGCATATCCCCAATAGGGAGTGTGCAGGAGGCAGCTGATCGATGTTTCTCTCTCATAGATGTTTCTAACTCTCTATCCCTTTCCATTCCTCTCTGTAAAAAATCAATAAAATATATTTTTTTAAAAATGACAACAGTCAACACAATAGCTGTCTGGTGTGAATGACTCAAAATTATACCTATATTTTGGTCAGATAGGCAAAAATATATTTTTTCCTCTGCTGCAGAATTTTAGCAATTAGTTTATTGTCAGAGAGAAGTTTGTTGTTAGAGAAGAAAAAAGAGAGAAACATCAATTTGTTGTTCCACCTATTTATGCATTCATTGGCTGATTCTTGTATGTGCCCTGACCAGGGATTGAACCCACAACCCTGGCATTTCAGAATGCTGCTTTAACCAACTGAGCTACCTGGCCAGGGCTGCACCTTGTTTTTTCTCTTAGTGATATGAATAATGGCTTTTTAAAGAGTTGAGAAAAGCAAAATTTTTCTTATGTGGCTATTAGAAAATTTTAAATTACATTTGGATCTTACATTATATTTTTATCAGATGTGATCAAGGCAACAGTTATCAATAGCTGATTAATAATATAACACATAAAGACAACTAAACACTATGGAAGTCGCTATACCGTTGGAAGTATATATTACCACCTATGAAGTAGCCTTACAAACAAACAAAATCAAGTCTAATTCAAGCTCCAAATCTGTGCTAACATGGTAGCCACTAGCCACATGTAGCCACTTACATTAAAATTAAATTAAATTTAAAATTCAGTTTCAGTCACATTAACCACATTTCAAGTGGCCACAGTGCAGATACAGAACACTTGCATCATCACAGAAAGTACTATTGGACAGTGTTGCTCTAGATGAAACAGTTACAGGAAATAAAAGGAGGAACAGAATATAATTGGTGTCTTGGGGATATAATCAGCAAAATTCACACTGTGGAGAACAAATGAACTAATGTCTTCAAGAACAACAAAACAGCAAAGAAAGAAAGACTAAAATGAGGGGAAACATATGTACATATATACAATGGAATACTACTCAGCCATAAAAAAAGATGAAATACTGCCATTTGCAACAACATGGATGGATCTTGTGAATATCATGTTAGGCAAAATAAGTCAGACAGAAAAAGTCAAGAACCATATGATTCACTCATCTATCTACATACTAGAGGCCTGGTGCACAAATTCGTGTATGGGTAGGGTCCCTAGGCTTGGCCGGCAATCAGGGTTAATCGGGGCCTTCCTTTGTGCTGCGCTGCCCCTGGTGGTCAGAGAACATCACAGTGAGGGATCGAACTCCCAGTCTCCTGGTCGAACTCCCGAGGAGACACTATGCATATTAGCCTTTTATGCATATAGTAGATATAAAAGCCTAAGCGACCGACGGGTAGCTATGACATGCACTGAACACCCGGGGGCAAATGTTCAGTGCAGGAGCTGCCAAGCTGCACTGACTTGGCAGCTGTGGTTCTCGGATGACGCACCCGGAACCAGAGAGGAGAGAGCCTGATTCCAGGGTACATCATCAGAGAACCGCCCTCTCGCAATCTAGGACCCCTCAGGGGATCGTGCACCAGGCTTCTAGCATGGGATATAAAACTGAAAGCACAAATGAACAAACAAGACAATCAATCAAAAACTCAAGCCCTGCCCTAGCCGGTTTGGCTCCGTGGATAGAGCATCAACCTGCAGACTGAAAGGTCCCGGGTTCGATTCCGGTCAAGGGCACATGCCCAGGTTGCAGGCTCGATCCCCAGTGGGGGGCATGCAGGAGGCAGTCGATTTCTCTCTCTCTCTCCCTCTCCCTTCCTCTCTAAAAAAATAATTTAAAAAATTTTAAAAAACTCAGTTTGGCTCAGTGGATAGAGTGTTGACCTGTGGACTGAAGGGTCCCAGGTTCGATTACAGTCAAGGGCACATGTCTGGGTTTCGGGCTCAATCCCCAGTAGGGGGTGTGTAGGAGGCACCCAATTAATGATTCTCTCTCATCCTTTCTCTCTCCCTCTCCCTTCCTCTCTGAAATCAATAAAAATATATTAAAAACAACAGCCCTGGCTGGTTCGGCTCAGTGGATGAAGCATTGGCCTGCGAATCAGGTTCGATTCCAGTCAAGGGCACATGCTCGGGTTGCGGGCTAGATCCCCAATGGGGGACGTACAAGAGGCAGCCAATCGATGATTCTCTCTCATCATTGATGTTTCTGGCTCTCTCTCCTTCTCCCTTCCTCTCTGAAATCAATAAAAATATGTTTAAAAAAACAAAACAAAAAACACCTCAAGCCCTAGCCAGTTTGGCTCAGCGGATAGAGTGTTGTCCTATAGACTGAAGGACGATGGGTTTGATTCCGGTGAAGAGCGCATACCTCAGTTACAGGCTAGATCTCCGGTGCATGCTAGAGGCAACCAACTGAAGTCGCTATTCCATTAGAAGTATATACTACCACCTCTGTGGTGGTTACCAGAGGGAAAGGGAGTCAAATATATGGTGACAGAAGGAGATCTGACTTTGGGTGGTGAGTACACAATGCAATATACATATGATGTATTATAGAATTTGTATACTTGGAACCTATATAATTAACTGTCACCCCAATAAATGTATTTTTAAAATTTAAAAAAAGAAGAAAAAAACTGGCCTTCCTGGATCCTGATTTAAACCAACCATACATTTTTTGTTTTTCTTTATTTATTTTTAATCCTCACCCGAGGATATTTTTCCATTGATTTTTCAGAGAGAGAGTGGAAGAGAGAGGGAAAGACAGAGAGAAATATTGATGTGAGAGAAACACATCAATTAGTTTCCTCCTGCACGAGCCCGACTAGGGCTCAGGCCAGGGAGGAGCCTGCAACTGAGGTATATGCCTTTGACCAGAATGGAATCGGGACCCTTTGGTCCACCAACCATACATTTTTGTAAAATATATATATTTTTTATTAATTTTAGAAAGAGAGTAAGGGAGAGAGGGAAAGAGAGGGGGAGAGAGAGACGAGAGGTGGGAGGGAGGGGGAGAGAGGGGAAGGGGGGGAAAGAGAGAGAGGTGGTTGAGAAACATTGATCAGCGGCCTCCTGCATGCCCCCTACTGGGGATCGAGCCCACAACCTGGGGCTATGCCTTGACTGAGAATAGAACTGGCAACCTTTCAGTGCACAGGACAATGCCCAACCAACTGAGTGACACTGGCCAGGGCTCAATCATACTTTTTTTTTAAAGAAACATTTATAGGACTATCAGCAGAAATGTGAACACTGATTGCATATTTGATATCATAAAGGAATGGTGGTATCATCATTATCTTTAAAAGGAGAGTTATCTGCCCTAACCAGTTTGGCTCAGTGGATAGAGCATAAGCCTGCAGACTGAAGGGTCCCAGGTTCGATCCCGGTCAAGGGCATGTACCTTGGTAGCGGGCACATCCCCAGTAGGGGGTGTGCAGGAGGCAGCTGATCGATGTTTCTCTCTCATCGATGTTTCTAACTCCCTATCCCTCTCCCTTCCTCTCTGTAAAAAATCAATAAAATATATTAAAAAAATAATAATAATAAAATAAAATAAAAGGAGAGTTATCTTTTAGAGATACTGAAATCTTTATAGATGAAATAATATGTCTGGGATTCACTTCAAAATAATCAGGGTGAGATACACAGAAGAATTATGAATTGGCCATGAACTGATCATTGTTAAAGCTGGATAATGGTTACCTGGGAATTCACCATGCTAGTTTCTCTACTTTTGTATGTTTGAAATTTTCCATTAAACAGTTTATTTATTTATTTTAAATATATTTTTACTGATTTCAGGGAGAAAGAGAGGAAGAAAGAAACATCAATGATGAGAGAAAATCATTGATCAGCTACCTCCTGCATGCCCCACATTGGAGATCAAATGCACAACCCGAGCATGTGCCCTGACCAGGAATTGAACCATGACCTCCTGGTTCATAGGTTAACACTCAACCACTGAGCACGCCAGGTGGGAAAATAGTTTTAAAAATTCCTGGAACTTCGGAAATTTTTAATAAATTTAATCCTTATCACCCAGAGCTGATTTTATCTCAGAAACATAACCTTAATATTCAAGTCTCTAGTCTCTGCATATTCTTCCATGCCATGCCCTCACTTTCTTGAACTCAAGAGTGACTTTCAGCTTATAGATTCCACCATTTTCTCCCAATCTCTCAATTTCTTATGACTACTCAAGTCACAACAAATAAGTAATTAAAGCTTTGAACTACAATTGACTTTTCTGTATACATAGTAGGCAAATTAGAGTTGCTGGATTTGGGAACACAACTATACAGATGGATTCCCTACAAAGTCATGGTCCACCACAAGTGGAATCTTTGCATGTATCAATCTCTTACTTAAGTTTACTCAGCTGCATTCTCCCAAGCACTCACCATTTCTTCTTAGGTCTCCTTACTCAACCACAAAAGCTACAACCAAGTACTCCAAAGAGAACACTACAGTTTTTAATGTATTTGTATTTATGTGTTTCTTTACAGATAATCTGTTATATTACAACCCTCACATACCTGTTAAAATAAAATTCATTAACAAAAAGATTTTAGCAAACGTTCCTATAAACCAGCAAAGTTGAATGTTATTAAAACTTACTATTAACGGCAATCCATTCATTGAGATCCTCTCCCTCCGGCAACATAACAGCTTGTCTCAGATTCCCGCTTCCTAAAGTTGCTTCTGCATGTTTTAAGAGTTCATACTGATGAGACCCTTCAGGGATATTCTTCTTTGGTTTGAATGTTTTAGAAGAGCGGCTGCTGCTGTTAGGTTAAAAGAAAAAGTATATAAATTTTTAGGACTAGAAAGAAGCAGAATGGCATAATTTTAATGGCATAATATAAATTGTAAAATAAAATAAAAAATACTTCCTGAAAAGTGCCAGGATTTGGGGGTAGGGGGAGATGATCACAATAAAAAAGAATGCTTTAAATTTCTTTCCTCATGTAGAAACAGTATTAGCAGCACAACGTCACATAAGGCAATTTAACTATGCCTCCTGAAGCAGTCTGGTGTAATAGAAAGGGCACTTGAACCAAAAAAAAGAAAAAACCTGGATGCTAGTCCTTGATCTGCCACTATCTCTGTGGATGCTTGAGAAACCTAATCTCCCTTTGGCCTCAATTTCCACCTACACAAAATGGTGCTGCGAGGGAAGTAGCCCTAAGGTTCTAATAGCTCAAAAAGTTTCTATACCAAAATATTTGGGATGCCATCAAAGCAAACCACAGCGGAAGCAACACATTTTTTGAAGTTTTAAGCAGAAAAAGTAAATGAGAGAGAGACAACTGATTATTGGAGGGGAAAGTAAGTTTTTATTCCTATCTCACACCATCCACAAGAAAGGTCTTCCTAACATGTCACAAAACCCAAACCTTAAATGGATGAATTTCAAATTATAATAATTAAAATTCAGTAACAGAGCAAAAAGATAAGTAACCAAAAAAAGTACTTGCAATATGTATTACAAAAGATAAACTGGATTAATAATGGGCTTCCATAATCTGTTAAGAAAAAGGTTAGGTACCCTTTAGAGCAGTGGTTCTCAACCTTGGCTGCACATTAGAATCACGTGGGAATCTTTTTAAAATCCTGATTTCTGGGCCTCATCCTCCGGAAATTCTGTTTCTTTGTTACTAATGTTGTGGCCCCACCCCATAACAAGAGAAATGAGATGAATAGGCAATTCAGAAGGAAAACTACAATGACCAATGAACATCTGAAAAACTATTTAATTAAAATAAGATATTTCCTTAAACTGAGTGTCAAAAGTGAAAACAATTACCTTAAGTGTGGTATAGAGAAATTAGTGCTTTAATACAGCACTGGTGAAAGGGTAAAGTGTTTTGGGAGGGCAATATGGCAGTATCTGTTAACACTGCAATGTTCCTCAATCCATCCCTTCCACTAAGTATCTCTCTTAGATATGGTAAGGATGTGTAGTCCAAGATTGTTTTTAACAGTGAAAAATCTGGAAACAATCGTAAGGCTAATTAGAAGAATGAACAAACTAACTATGATACATCTGTGTCATGGAGTATTGCATTGTAGTTAAGAACAAGATACAAGGACAAGATAGAGAGCTACATGTATTTACTTGAAAAGATCTCACACATGGTTAAAACAAAACCAAATAAACAGCAGGAACCCATTTTGTAAATGTACAGAAAGGATACAAATCAAATTGATAGTGGTGATTACTTACTTCTAAGAAGGGGAAAGGAATAAACTGTGGGCTTTCATTTTACCCCAGTAATTTGAATTTTAAATAAGATTAAGAAGTAAAATGAATTATAAAAACACTAAAATTCAAATATGGAAAGTTTTTCAACGTGGTAAACACCTATATTTATTAGGGGAGTACTAAATTACAAGGAATTGCCTTTTATATCTAGAAAAGCTGTGAATGACAGAAAACTAAATTTGGAAGGCATAGAATGATGGCTCAATATTCAAATATTATCATCATCTAAATCGTGATTCAAATGACACCAAGACAGTGAAAAAGAATCCACAAAACGCGAGAAAATATTTGCAAATCATAGATGTGATAAGTGAGTGACTTGTATCAAGGATAAAGAATTCTTACAACTCAAAAACAAGAGAACCCAATTTAAAAAAAAAAAACGGCCAAAAGTTGTCAACTATAATTAAAAATATTTTTTTTAAAAAATGGATCAGAAGATCTGAATAGACATTTCTCCAAACAAAAAATATACAAATGGCCAATAAGCACACGAAAGGCTGCTCAACCTTCTTAGTCATTAGGGAAATGGAAATTAAAAAACCACAGTGAGATGCCATTTCACACCCACAGAGGATGGTTATAATAAAAAAAAAAGACGAGAGAGAGAGAGAGAGAGATATGAGACTGACAGATCCCTGTTGCAAATGCAAAAACGGTGCGGTGCTTTGAAAAAGTTTGGCAGTTCCTCAAAAGATTAAACCTAATTGCCGTGGAGCTCAGTAATCCCTCACTCAGGTAGAACACCCAAGAGAAATGAACACACCAACACAAAAATGTGTCCAGTTCGTAAAAGTTCCGAGAGAGAGAGAGAGAGAGAGAGAGAGAGAGAGAGAGAGATATGAGACTGACAGATCCCTGTTGCAAATGCAAAAACGGTGCGGTGCTTTGAAAAAGTTTGGCAGTTCCTCAAAAGATTAAACCTAATTGCCGTGGAGCTCAGTAATCCCTCACTCAGGTAGAACACCCAAGAGAAATGAACACACCAACACAAAAATGTGTCCAGTTCGTAAAAGTTCACAGCATTATTCGTAAAAACCCCAAAAGGTGGAAGCTCAGATACCCATCAACAAAACAAAGTTCAGGAGAAATACAGAGCCTCGCACTGACATCCAAAAGCAACCAGGCAACGTGCACACACAAACCAACCGCTAAATAAACATGAACTCGCAAGAGAAAGACTTGGGGGAGGGATGGGAGAGATGGTTCCAGTAACACAGGAATTTGCAATGAAAATCTAAACCATACAGACTTCCTGACCTGATAATCAGACTCTGAAGACTCTATACCCTTAACACGACAACCCAGAGGGGGAAAGCGACCTGGACCAAGGCATTCTCCGCACTGTAGTCCCATTTTATAAACAGCGAAGGAACCCTCATTTCTCACGATAAGGAACTAGTTAGATGAACTCTGGCTATGAAACACCATGCAATTCTGAACTTTAATAAAAACGTCAAGTATGTGGGTGATGTCTATAACGAAAAATGGGTCTTTAGTCATTCGGACGACACACGTGTAAGCAATGCGCTGCGTGGAGGCAGCCACCTGAGCAGAATCAACAAGACGCCGGCGCAGTGCTTCTCTCGCGGCAGCACCGCACGTTTTTCCGGGGCGGCGTTTTTCCTCGGGGTTTTTCTAACACCGACGGTAACAGAACTGGACCAGCGGCGGAGTAAACGCTAAGTCAGCACGGATCCGCGGAGGAGCTCCGGGCTCCGCCCCCAGGTCGCCCCGTCGCCCTCGGGGCCGCTCGGGCGGAAAAGTTTGGAGGCGCTATGGCCCTGGGGCCTTTCTACTCCTCGGTCTCTTCACTCCGCTTCCTCGGCGTCGACTTTCCCTCTCCGTCTGCCTCGGCCCACGTCCTAGCCTCCCCCGGTGACCCTAAACCGGAGCAAACCCAGCGCCGACCACCCCGGCCCCGGGGCCGGCCCTCACCTCAGGCGCCCCCTCTCCCCTTCGCCGCCCTCCGCCCTCAGTCCCGGACCCCGGGCCCGGTTGCACTCACAAGAGGAAGCTCATCTTCTATCCTCAGAGGGGAGGGGAGGGGCCGCTGGCCCCCGTCGCAGTCGGGACTCGGAGCGCGCACGGGCACCTCACGCGCCTCCCCCACCTAGCGGAGAGGAAATGCGGAACCAGCCTAATCTCGCGAGAAAAGCCTGCTCTCTGCCCCGCCCCGCCCCGCCCCGCCCCCAGCTCAG